ATCCTCACATTCTGGCAGTGCCATTACACATCTGCTGGTATTCTTCTCAATGGTTTCCTACATTTCTCTGAAACTGCATTTTACTTCTTTATTCTGTCATTTTTGAATTGGATGAATTCTATTAATCTATCTTCAAATTCACTGATAGTTTATTCTACCAGTTAAAATCTCATGTTAAACTGCTTTAGTGAATTTTGATTTTTGTTACTGTATTTTAACAACTCCTGACTTCCATATGGTTCTTTCCCATAATTCCAATCTACTTATTGATATTCTCTATGTCAGGATATACTGTACACACATTATCTCTTTTTTTTTTTTTTTTTTTTTGAGACAGAGTCTCACTTGTTGCCCAGGCTAGAGTGAGTGCCGTGGCATCAGCCTAGCTCACAGCAACCTCAAACTCCTGGGCTCAAGCCATCCTCCTGCCTCAGCCTCCCGAGTAGCTGGGACTACAGGCATGTGCCACCATGCCTGGCTAATTTTATATATATATACATTAGTTGGCCAATTAATTTCTTTCTATTTATAGTAGGGACGAGGTCTTGCTCTTGCTCAGGCTGGTTTCGAACTCCTGACCTCGAGCAATCCGCCCGCCTCGGCCTCCCAGAGTGCTAGGATTACAGGCGTGAGCCACCGCGCCTGGCTCACACATTATCTCTTGAGGCATGGTTTCCTCTAGTTCTTTTAAGATATTTATAATGGCTGATTAGAAATATTTGTCTGCTTAGTAACACAACTAGGCCCTCTGAAGAAGAAGGGTTTTTTTAGCCTCCTTTCTTCTCACATATGGTCACATTTCTTGTTTCTCTGCATGTCTCAAGTATTTTTGTAGTTGAAAATTAAACATTTTTCAGTGATATATGGTAACAATACTGGCTACTTAGAACCCACCACCACTTGAAGGCAGAGTGTTACTATTTTCTCTTATGTTTACTAATTGGAACCTATGATGTCACTCCCCAGAGGGCACAGCACAATTAAACTGGGATGACACTGGGTTACCAGGGCTCACTTTTTCTCTTTAATCACATTGAGCTGCTAGCCTGCATTAACTGCTAGCTAATCTTTCTGCTGTTTACAGCAATGCCCTAGGGAACATAATGCTCACAGCATAATCCAATTAATTCAGGGACTTTTGCACTGGTAATTTCTGAGGCCCACCTTTGATCTGACCCCAGGATTTCTTGTCTTAGTTCTTTTCCTGGTAGGTAGCCTGCAGTCTAGCACTTTGTTGAAATGAAGCTACCAGCTTCCTAACTGCTTCCCATCAAAATAGCTATCATTCTCAGGACTGCCATTAAGCTTGATATTCCCTGACCGTGTTTTAAATATAGCTAGCTTCACAGGAGAGTAAATTTTAATTTTTGCTACTGTATTTTACAACTCCCGATTTCCATACGGTTCTTTCCTATAATTCCAACCTACTTACTGATATTTTCCATGTGAGGATATACTGTAATCCTATCATTACCTCTTTTTTTTTTTTTTTTTTTTTATAAGGGCACTAATGTCAGTAATAACGGTTCTGCACTCATGACCTAATCATTTCCCTAAGG